TCCAGCTTCCATTCCTAGAGACAGACAAAAATAACTAAACATTAACCTGACAAGCCATGGCCCAAGCCAACATAGATGAAACCTCAGGATGAAGACAGAAGCAGCACCACAACAGGATGTGTAACACAGGATCTTGAGACAAAGGAAAATGGACATTAAGAAAGAGGTCCCTCCTAGCCTCATTTCCGACACTGTTCCTTTAATCTTCTTCCCTGGTGTACCCGTGCTTACACGGCCACATGAACCAAACCTGGGAGGCTTGGCTCCTGCAGTTTGAGCAGGGTGCTTTGAAGAGAAGACATTTATTCATTTGAACGAAGGACATAGGTTTCTCATGTTGCCAAGTTCAGAGTCAGACATGCAAACCAACCTCTCTCTCCACGTTTATGTAGAACTGCTTGATACCCTCCAGGGTAAGCTCCTCCTTCTTCACCAAGATGCGAACAGGGTCTCGCATGAATTTCTTCGTTACCTCCAATACGTCGGCAGGCATGGTGGCTGAGAGCAAGACCACCTGAAGAAGTAAAACATGTTAGAAGACAACCCCCAACCAGCAGAGCATTTACAACATAAAACATGACTTGATTCAGTTGTGGCACTTCACCTTGAGACAACAGCCAATGAACATTAAGAAAGAGGTTCGACTGCATCTCATTTTCAATGCAGTGCCTGTTAATCTCCTTCTGCGTAATACTCTGCTGGCATTATTGCATGAAACAGGTTATCTGGATCACACAATTATAGCAGACTTCTATAGATGCAGAAGGAAGGGATATTTAGGAGCCCTACACATTTATCTTGTCAAATTTCCATCATTTTCAAAATCTCAAGCTTCAGTTTTTCATCCTTCTTAGCCAATTCTTAAAGCAGATAGATAGATAGATAGATAGATAGATAGATAGATAGATAGATAGATAGATAGATAGATAGATAGATATAAGTAAATGGATGAATGAATGAGACAGAACAAAGACAACTATGAGACCATGAGAAATGGAATAAAGTATAGAAATATATACTTGAATGTTTGTGCTCAGCTTCTGGAAGATCTCATAGATCTGATCCTTAAACCCTCGACTCAACATCTCATCAGCTTCATCCAGAACAAACATCTTGATCCATTTAGGAGCTGAATGAAAAGAGAACAAAAAAGTTTAAACTGACTCAATTAAAAGCCTAAAATAAAAAAAGAAATGCAGACTTTTCTTGCTGTAGAGCAGCAATGCTTACAAAGATGTCTCCTGTTCAGCATGTCATACACACGGCCTGGTGTGCCCACCACTATGTGAGGAGCCTCGGCCTGGAGTTTCTGAATTTCACTACGGAGATTGGTACCGCCGATGCAAGCATGGCAGGTTGCCCCCATGTAGTCACCGAGAGCCAGAATTACCTTCTGGATCTATTGAGAAAAGGAATGTGCATAAGTTCAGAATGGTTGACTAAAGACACAGAGTCTAACGAGTACAGAAAATCTGTTCAGTGATCAGTAAATCAAAAGGAACTCTCCATTTCAAGAGTCAGTCCCGAAAGATGGTATACCATCATATCACTCAGATTTCCACAGACAAACAGAATTCAACTGAGCCAAATAATCTTTTAGGGCGATGCAGCCATGGACAGAGACTACACCAGCCACAAAAAGATCTTCATAAAAAGAATGAGAAATTTTTGACAAATCAACAAAAGATGGTACCTTCGCATCTGAACAGTGTCCACAGTATGCTGCCTAGGTCTGAGACACTGTTGAGGTCACATGACCTCAGGAACAGCATACCTGCTGAGCCAGCTCTCTGGTGGGAGCCAAAACCAGAGCCTGAGTTTCCTTCTGCTCAATGTCCAGCTGCTGCAAGATAGAGATGGCAAACGTGGCTGTCTTGCCAGTTCCTGACTGGGCTTGGGCAATGACATCATAGCCTAACGGTGAGGAAACAGATTTAATAATCCTTCATAATTCTAACAGAACACAGAGGTAGAACCAAATATAACTGGGCATTATACGTGCTTTTTAGCAGCCGTTCAATTTAAAACCAGTTGGACAGTATTGAGTGATCAGTAAGGAAATAAAATTATCCCCATTTGTTGGGTAAGTCCCGAAAGATGGTAAGGCATCATTTCACTCAATCACAAAACAATCCACTTTTCAGTTTGATGCCTGTACCTTTGATGCATGGGATGATGGCCCTCTGCTGAATGGCAGACGGCTTTTCAAAACCATAAGCGTATATTCCTCTGAGAAGAGACTCCTTCAGGTTCATATCATCGAAATTGTCTGTAATCTCATTCCAGTTGCTCTGTATTGGCAAGAGAGAAAATAAGCAATAGAGAATGGTGATGTCTGAAATCATTAGGCGGCCTTATATTTGCAGCTGACAGTGTTTTGGATTTACCTCGATGACACCATCAGGCTCCATTCCTTCTGGCCCCCCATGGTCTCTATCTCTTGAGCTGTTGGGAAACGTAATCAGATTTATTCTTTGCAATTACATACCTCGGGTAAGTTGTCTTATCACGTGTCTGCTAAAGTTTTTTTTTTTTTTTACATCAACATCCCTTTCCCCCCCTTGCCCCTCAGTTTTGACTGTTCATGGGGTAGGATGTGTCAGTTTCTGTCAAATATTGGGAGGGAAAATAGGGTAATGGCTAATATTCTTTATGGGTACACCTAAAAATGCTGCACCTAAAATATGCTCACGAAAGTAAAGAAATTAAGCAGTGTTTCTGGGCCAGTTCAAATATCCAGTTTTCTTAGAGATCTGACCTGCCTAGTTTTAATTTTGACCAGTTCTATACATTTTTAGCTAAAGGGCTGTACCATATAAACAAAAGTGTCATGTTTCAATAGATTTGGCGTTTTGGAACCCAACAGAAAAGGCATGACAGAAATTCCACCATTTATGTATGAAAGTACACCCCTAACCCCAATTAGATTTTTATTCAATCCCCAAAGAGCATCAAAGTACACTCATCTCATGCACGATTATACCAGAAATCGCATGAATATTTACTCTTGATACATTTAAAAGAATCAGGAAGCCCCCCCCACCCCATCATTTTCAAACACTATTTTTGCTACTACTTATATTTAAACAGTCTGTACAATTTGAGAACCTTTACACAACATGCAAGTTTACATACAAGCAATCTGTGAGAAATACTGATGCATCTGCTTCTAGAACCAGTGTCCCGTTTCTGACTGGAACATTTTAACCACTACCTGATTTATTAACCAACGGATGGAGAATGGGGTAGCCCTTGGAGATGGGAGTCAGCTACCATATTACACGTGTAGCCACTGTGCCCGGAGCGCTCCGGGTCACGCCTAGAGTATCTCGTTCCAACAGCCCACAGCCTCGGTGGGCGCACGTGTCAAATTCCACGAGCCGACCTCAACTACCTGCCCTGCACTGCAGAAAGATTCTCTATTATATAGCCTCGAAATTGTTCTAAACGCTTCATATTAACCCCGGATAAAATACTCACAAGCGGATGTTGCCCCTTTTCAACATGGAGTTCCTTGTGCCTGCCTGTCTGTCTCACTGATGGCCAATATGTCGGATAATTGGGCCTGTACAGGAATGGTGGCTTCTACCCAGAGCTAGGCCGAGAAGCACCCTGGCCCAACGGCTCCGCTGACAAGCACCCGTCACTTTAATAAAATAAAACTTCGACTTCAAGTACACACGCGTATTTAGCGTTAATGGAACTCATAGCAACTAATCTAAATAATGCACCTTAACGGTAAGTTAAAGCAGTGGTGTTTCGGTGCGGCTAACTGCTATGCTAGCAACCAAATCAATCCGAAATCAGTTAGGCCTAACTGTCTCGATATAAACTAATTTGTTGTCATACAATTTACTGAAAAGTCCCGGTCGTTCAGGTACAACCAAATATTAGTTATTGCCTGAGAAAATGACCCAAAATATAGTTTATTACCTGTTGTAATCAGCAGAATCGCTAGACATGATCCGTTCACAACTTCAGCATGCGACTGAAAAGATCGCTGATGGCGACGCCAACTGCCTTTATGCGGCCGGACTATTTTCGCTGGCATTTCTTATGCTCAGTTTAATTGAAAAAATAGTTTCAGTTAACCAGATTATTACATGTATGACACTTAACTTTTTATAATACTATCATAAGAAAATTAACATTTTATTAAGTGATAAAATGTTTTAAAATGTTCAGACTACATTTCTCAGCGGAAGGATAATGCAGTAAGAGGTGGTGCATCGACCGCTACAGCATCTCTGACAGGTCAAAACTCGGCCTGACAAGGTTGTGCAAGAATTTAGGAGATTGTTCTATGTTACTGATGAAGAGTTGAAAAATAAAATGCTTTTAGAACATAATATCTTGTTTGTCATTATCTATTTGAGGCACTTTTAAAAGACAGAATCCATGTGCGGCAATAAAGCAACTTTGCGATACCTAAATTCCTGAGTTTGTAATGCAGTACATACTCCTGTATGTACTGCATTACTGTGATACTCCTAAAACCGCAATAAAAAAAAGCTGATTGTACAGAAAAAACAGTTCAATCCCTGTCCCTTTATTTAGGATGAGCTGTACACTGTTTGGACCTCATTTAACTACAGTTTCACAATCCTTTCTGTTATTTAAACCTTTTAATGTTTCAGCTTCTTGCTTTGTCTGAACATATTAAGAATCAAGTGTCTTTGTATTATAGGATAATGTCAGTGCATGTTTTAAATCTCATTCATTCATCTTCTATACCGCTTATAGTGGGTCGCAGGGGAGCTGGTGCCTATCTCCAGCAATCTATGGGCGAGAGGCAGGGTACAACCTGGACAGGTCTCCAGTCCATCGCAGGGCAACACAGACACACACAGGACAAACAACCACGCACACACTCAATTACACCTAAAGGCAATTTAGAGACATAACCTAACAGTCACGTTTTTGGACTGTGGGAGAAGGCCGAAGTACCCTATGAGAACCCACGCATGCACGGGGAGAACATGCAAACTCCATGCAGAAAGACCTGCAGCCGGGAGTCGAATCCAGGACCTTCTTGCTGCAAAGCAACAGTGCTACCAACTGCACCACCGTGAAGCACTGTTTTAAATCCGTTTCAGTATATTAACACTGTATAATGCACACCAAAAAAGTAGCAAAGGCTGCCTTCCATAGAAGTATATTAGTGATTTAGTTCTAATCTACCTTTAACAACAGGGTATATTTGACAACAAGATGCTTTAAGCAGATTTTATTAAAAACACACTAAACAACAACAAAAAAACACCTCTATGCTATTCTCTTTCATATACACTTGCAATCAGAAGATAAAATTCTTTGTTAGCGTGATTGTGATATTAATTTGGGTTTTTTAATTATGCATTTGAACCATTCCCAACCAAGTTGGAACAACCAAGTTTTACAACATACAACTATGACGGTTCTTAAAAACAAGAATTCAATGCATACCATTTTGGCCTTGTAGATTTTCTCTCGTAAAAACCTGGCTTAAACTACACATACAGACTTAAACATATACATACACCCCCACTAACACTTGGACTAAGGTCCTTTAGCAAGTTGCAGACAAACCACTAAAGTTTGTGTAGACATCAACAAGCTTTGTAAAACCAGTTCTAATGTGTGTTTGGGATCATTGTCTTGTTGGCAGTCGACACCCAATTGTGTTAAACTTCCATCCACCTAACTTTTTATTTCCCGTTTCTAACTTGAACCTTGGTGGTTCCTGGACTGCATTCAAACATCATAACCAATTTCTTTTCATATGAAGTTGAGAGGTTGGGTCTTAGTCCAGACAAGGTTTGAGTTGTCTAGCCACAATAACAATTAAACTTGTTTGGGGGAGTAAATGGGGGGCTTTTAAATCTAATAAATCTTTACCATTTCTCAAGCATGGTGTAGGTAGCATCAAACTGTGGGCATGTTTCTTTTCCTTTGGTACCGATGCATAACACAAGTTGGATTGAAAATACTGAAGATGGAAGACTACCTCCAATTTCTTGATGTTTTTCCAAATTGTGTATTCCTTTAGCACAATCATCCCAAACACACATCCAAATCTGTATTTGAATGTTTAAAGCAGGCCAACAATAAGCTTCTACAAAGACCTTCTCAAAACCTGACCAAAACCCAATGAAGCTGGGTTGTTGCTGGTAATCCAACCAATTCAAATTAACTTTACCAGTTCCACAAAGAAGAATGATCAAATATGCAGGTCCAGACTCATACTAGAAGCTTGTTGACGGCTACAAAAAGCGGTTGAGGTTGAACTTATTACGCAAATATTAATGGGGGTGTATATATGTGAAGCCTGTATGTATAATTTTGACCATGTGTGGATTAGATTCAAACCTATGCACCCAGTTCTTGTTTCTAGAAATAACCGAATCCGATAATTATTATGACGTTCAACACTATGAAGAGTGTCATGAAATTTCTGCCCGGATCTGTACATATTATGTACCAGGCATATACCACCAACCAGTGAGTATTGTATCAAATAAAATTGCAGTGAAGATCGTAGATTTAATTAAGTGTCTGGAAGCAAGTTTGTTTTGCTTTTTTGCTCTTTATTTGTTTTTCAGTAAGAAAGTTGAAACATTTCAGCGCACAATGGTGTAGTAGTTGGAGAAGAGCTCCTCTCCTGCTCGTATGTCTCTGAGTGACACAAGGACAACACATCGCAAACGTCTCTCAGTACAGTGGCTGTAGTTGACATTTGGGAGATACTGGCGAAGCTCGATGGGAAAGCTGTCTGGGACGTCGTACTCCTGGTAGCAGACGTTAGCAGGCCTTTCATTGGAGCAGTTGTTGACGTACTGGCCCACAGCCAGTGGATTTTGTGGACTGTCTGTCAGCCAGCTGGTGTCACTTGTCATATAGGGACCAATTCTGTCCCTGCCGCTGCATGACCTGAACACCATTCTGGAGATGCCTTTGTCATTCCCATCAACGAGCACCCCATCAATACACCTGAATACAAAGGGGTTTCTGATGGACTGAAGGAGGATGGGCTCATAAGGCTGATAAACTGTACCAGGATACATGGCAACTGTAGCTCCTTTGGGTACAAATCCCCTGCTGACAAACACCCCAGTTCCGGCAAAGGGTAAAGAACTAGGCCTCCTCTCAATACAGAATCCCAGAGCTTGGAACAGAACATTTTCATTCTGATCTTGATGAAGTGGAATCCGGGGCAAGAAGCTCGTTTGTACTCCTGGGATCAGCCCTCCGCTGCTCCTGAGGAAGGCTCTGAAGAGCCTCAATAGGCTCTGTGAAACCTGCTCATCTGGGATGACTTTGTCTTCCGAGCGATCGGTAACCTGGCGCAGGGTCTTTTCGTTCTTAGACAGATTCAAGACAACCCAAGGCACGAAGCGGTGTCTGTAAGATCTCCATTTCGCCTGAAATCTCCGGAGAGCCGCCGTAAACATCCAGAGACACGCAGGACTAGGAAGCAGCTTGTGCTGCGTTCAAATTACCTCGGTCGGGAACAGAGAATGACGTCACACCTGCCACGGCGCATTTCAACCACTGGTTGGGAAGCTAGTAGTTCCGATAAGTTTTGATGCTGCTCGGACACTTTCGACTTTCTTAGTCGGAACATTTTGTTGTTTTTTTCCTCCACTTAGACCCCTATCTACACCTCTCCCTACTAGAAACTCGGAACTAGGTATTCCGAGTACACATTGACACAAGCTCTTACGTCACTTTCGACAAGTTTTGCCCCAGTTTAGCCTTTTAAACCAAAAACTAGTATAGTATGTTACGTTGTCTGATTTGAACAGCAACATTTAATCGTAAAAAAACATAGTTTTGAATTTAACACGAATGACCGCCCGGTTGGGTTTTACTTTTATTTTGAAGAGTTAAATTGCAACCGGAAAAAGTCTTGTGGTTATAAAAACACACAAAAAAATTTGAGTTGCTTGCTGGATGGGAGCGAAGTAAGTCTGTTCGAGACAAACATGGTAAGAAAGTGTTGTGTTTTCTGGTTCTCAGTTAGAATACTAGCAGTTTTCGTGTTGATTAGTTGTCTTCGTGGTTTACAGCGAAAACAAATATAGCTCGTCTTGTTAGCTTTAGGTAAGTATCTAATCCACCAGTTTTAGTTAGCTTGCTCAGTCAAGGGAAACTCCTCTCTGTGCAGCGATACCGGTCATGAATTCCCGTGTCCTGGCTTCTGTAACAGTAATGATAAGTTGACTGGTTTAATATAGTATGTTGTAACTGGTTTATTGTAGCCTTTCTTGGTGTTTCTGTTTTCATGTGTTTCATTGTTGTTTATGTAGCTAACTGTCGAGTGCCAAAAGTGCCACTGTTTTTTCAGCTGTTCTAACCACTTCCATGGTCACTTGTGTACAACATCAAGCACATAGCTTCTAATCGGTGAAGAATGGATTGCTCTCAGGAGCTCAGTGAATCCTACAGTGTGATAGAATGCCACATGTGCAAATAAAAGCTTTCTTGACATTACTTCGCTACTAAACAATGCACTGTGAACTTTTAGTCATAGCTTAACCAATGGCAGCAAAATGAAGCAGCATTTCAGCCATGGAACAATTACAGAGTGGGGGCTGCAGACCCCCTATCTGTATGATGCCTTCAGATTAGCTCAAGAACATTGCCTGGTGAGCTCCATGGAATGGGTTTCAGTGCCCAAGCAGGTCATCAAGTGTTTGATGCAGTGGTGTAAAGCATGCTGCCACTGGACTTTTAAACAGTGCAGACGTGTTCTCTGGGATGGCAATTTGCTGTACAGACATGGATGAGCAAGTTTTGAAGTTTATGGAATAACTTCACTGGTCCGCACAGAGTGCAGACCTTAACCTGATAGAGCACCCTTAAGACGAGTTCGAGTGCAAACTGTCAGCCAGGCTATTTTGTCCAGTCTCTATGCCCGATCTTAAACATCCTCTCCTTAAAGAATCGTCAGATATTTCCCCAGACACACTCCTAATCCTTGTTGAATGTGTTGTAGCTGAAAAGGGTTGACCAAAACCAAACGTAAGCCTTTTTATCAAGAACAGGACATTCTTAAAGTCCATGTATGTGTGAAGGCAGGTGACCCAGTACGTTTTCGAAAAATAGTGTATATTGTAATCAAAATTTGAAGTAAATAGATCTGATAAACATATGGATGTCTCATTTGTTTAAATGTGCCTATAAGGAAATGCATAACTGGTTATATAAATGTAATATTCATTTTTGATTAATTTAAGTAATATGTTTTCTATAGTGTTTTTATTTTTTGTGTTATTTTTGGTCCTCCAACTAGTCTGTTGCCAGCATTAATATAGACTGCACTTGGTAATGCCTTGTTTATGTAAATGTGACTGTGGTAATGTCTGTATTTATTGTGTGCATTTCTTCATGCAGAACAAGCTGAAGTCCTTTCAGAAGGACAAAGTTCGTCAGTTTATAGTTTTCACACAATCTAATGAGAAGACCGCTGTAACCTGCTTGTCTCAGAATGACTGGAAGCTAGATGTTGCCACTGACAAGTTTTTCCAGGATCCAGAGCTCTACGTTTCAAATATTAAGGGGGCCTTAGACAAGAAGAAGCTTGAGCAGCTGTACAACAGATACAGAGGTAAAGAAAATGAAAAACCCATCAAAACAAAGGACTTGCATGTTCGCTTAGCTGTTTTACTTTGTAGAGAGAGAACATCCATCCATCGTCTTTACCCGCTTATCCTTGCAGGGGAGGATTCAGACTAATTTGGATATTAAAAACAAATACCTGAACAAGTTCCATTCTGCAGATGTGTTTTTAATCTGTGAGACCAAGCAGTTCCAGACCGCTGATTGACTGGATACATGGCCCCAGCAAGCAAAATGGGAATTTTTAGATTTCATTTGCAGAAGTCTAGTCAGGTTCCAGGACTAATTTGCACAGAGACAGCATTGGTGGAACTTACTATAGATATTCCCATAGCCAAAGAAAAAGCATGTTTCCACTATAAGTTTCTGAACAGTTTTTTTCTCCAGGATTTCTGGAACCTCTCCATCTACCTAGGCCAGGTGTGCCCAAGTTCAGTCCTCCAGAGCTACTTATCTTGCAACTTTAGAC